TGSWYKAKYWCMWSGGATTCCGTAYGAAGGGACTGGGGCGGCAGCAAGTGGAGTTTTGTAAGGATGGAATGGGGTCTTAGGATGGGGAGGCAGCAGGAACCTTCCTAGACCAGGAATAAGACCAGATGGTTGGGGTACAATGTTGACGAGAAAGTCCGAGTATTTGATCTCAGAGGTATTGGAAGAGTTGGGAATGTAACGTATTCCGCTAACTTGCTCTGCACATCCAAGAAACAGGCTTACCAAAACCACTGTTGTTGTCATTGTTTGCAGAGGAGAAGCCATTCTTGTTTTTTCTTGGAGGACAAAATTGGAGCTTGAATGTTTTTTGTGGAGGGAGAGTGTGTTATGTATAGAGTGAAATGGTTCAAGCTAATTATGGGAACATTAAACCGAACATGAACATGTGCTTCATTAAGCTCAAGTGAGCCTACAAATTCTGGTGACATCTTTGTTATTGGCGGTGAGTTAAGTGCATGAATAGAGTCACTAATGCCTAATTAGTACTTACCTCGGTTGTTTTTTTTTTTGGTGTACAAGCCTGAACATCGTAAGAAGTTATATCATGATCTTTAAGGAAGCTTATACCAGCCCATCCAGTGCCAAGTACAACTACTTTCTTCTTCTTTTGCTCCTTGTTTTTAACTTTTACGTTAGAATCTGAGTACGCCACTAAACTTCCACCGCTGCAAATGTATAAGAATACAACACACAATCCGAAAAAGTTATCTCTAATCAGCAACAAGAGAAAAGAACGTTATGGAGTAAATATAAGGAAAAGATTTGAGACACAAGTCGGTAAAAGGTCAACCATATGTTGAGAGAAACGAGACCATAAAAAAGTGAAGATGAAAAGCGCAGTGAAACCTGAGAGAGCCGAGGATGAGGAGCTTAGAGGCAAGAGGGGCAGATCGAGAGGCTCTTCCCAGAGAAGAAAGCAATGTCATTTTGGTTTAAAGCCTGAAGAAAACAGGGGTTGATTTTGGGAAGACAAAATCTGAATTTTTGCACATTTGTGTTTATGTATTCCCATTGCTCTCTGTTTTGCATATTTGTTTTATTCCCACGTCAAAAGTATAAGGTGAAGCAGAGGGTGGACTTTGACGAGGAGCTGAATTTTTGTATCACCAAAGGTAAAAATGTTGATCTTTCTTATTGAGAAGCAGCTACTTCGACGTCACCAAGATGTACGAAGAAGATGAAGAGTCCTGATCGACCTAAACCATATTTTCGATTCTCTTCTTCTCCCTATTCGTTCCCTTTTACCCTCAATCCAACGATTCAGAATCCGCAACAGCTCGGCTACGTTCCGGTTAAACAACAACACGACCCGAAGCAAATGATCTCGTTTAGTCCTCAACATCCACCAATTTTAAACACGGATAGAGGAGGAGCTTTGGTACAGGATCAGCAGAAGCAGTATATGGTAAAGTATTGGAGCGATGGTGGTTTGAGAGAGGACGGGATGGCGGAAGCATGGTTCAATGCGGTAACAGCTGGATGGGGTCCTGAAAGTCCTCTTTGGGATGATTTTGCAGAAAACTAATTAAGACCTTTCGTCCTCTGCTTCTTGTCCCATGAGGCCTTTCTTTTGAACTAATTAAGGTTATAAGCCAACATTGTAGGTTGTAGTTTAGGTTTTTGCTCATTGGCATTGGAGCGAGACAGTTTTTGTGATCTCCCACTCCACACATCAGTCATTATTATATATTTATCTCTACTCTACCTTCTCTCTATATTTCCTTCATCGT